GCAGCGCTCGCCCCGACTTGCGAAACACGCTGAAGATGCCGACTCATTTTGCCGCCGTCAGACAGACAGATAACGGACGTGGCTCCGCCGACCTTGGGAAAGAGACGGTGGCAGAAGGGGGACGTTAGTAACGGCAGGCCCGTCTGTGGGCATACTTAAAGGGGGTCCCTCTGGTAACCGTAAATGACGGCTGTGGCTCTGGCAAGCACATAGCCCTTTGGTTTTTTTTGCTCTTGGCGCTTTCTCAATTTTTACAGAGCAGAACCAAGACTTTTTTCAGTTTTACCCAATGCTTGTGAGATTGGGGTTATAAAAGGTAGTGGACCAAAAGGGAGAAACTTTTGTTTTTATTTAGATAGCAGTCGATTTGGCCGAGGTGACGGGCTGTGCAGTGTAACGGCGGAATGTTTAGCAGTAGAATGTAGGAAACTAGTTCCTCGTCTCTTGTAGTTCTGCTAACGTCATCAAGCGTTCCCAGGAGCGGCGTAATTGTTTTTAACTGTAAGCTGTTGTCCTCCCTCCCCCGCTCTAACAACAGCGGAAAACACCTATTACTTGTTGGTATTCAAGAGGTTGGGATGGTTCTTTTTCACCTTGACTTGTATAATTTGGAGATGAAAGGAGAATCCTTTCTATTAATATTAGCTAACAATTATATAGCACTTATTCCACAGTCTTACTAACTCAGACCATTCGCAAGACAAACTTGTCAGGTGAATATTCTCATTTTTCAGACCCAGAAAAGAGAAGCTAAGTGAATACTTCTCTCTTAATTGTATACATCTGTTTTGTTATATTTGCTGCTGTTTTACTTTGAGGTTTTGGTTGGTTTGAACCCCTTCAGAGGCACGCACTTACTGGCCTTGTGATCTGCTTCTGGATGGTCAACCAAAACCAGATTCACTGCCACCGACTGAGCTCTGACTTGGGACAACCACATAGGACAGGGTAGACCTGCCGTGTGTCTCCAAGATGGCAGCTCTTTAGGGGAATAGAAAGCCTTGTCTTTCCCCCAAGGAGCAGCAGGTGGTTTCAAACTGTTAGCCTCCCGGTTAGCAGCCCCTTAGGAAGACAGCTATACTCTGCACACATCAGGTTACCCTGAGTCAGAGCCAGCTCATGGCAACTGGAAGGGGAAAAAAAAAAGGAATTGTTTTACTTCAAAGGTTTTTTATAATTTGTCAGCAGTGTCTGTTGATAATATTTTTAAAGTTTTATTAGCACTTTGTCCACTTGATATTTCAAGCATACCAAGAAGAGTTCTGCAGTTATGACCACATTCAGTTCTAGAACATACTCTTCTTCCTTGTACTCATTGTTATGCATGTAATTATTTTTTTCTAATTGTGGCAAAAATATACATAATATTCTCCAATTCCACAACTTCTACATGTACAATGCAGTGCCATTGATTATACTTTTCATGTTGTATAACGATTATTGATATCCTTTTCCTAATTATTCCACCACCATGAACATAAACTCAATATCCTCTAAGCAACAACTCTTTCTCCTTCACTCATAGTAACCATTGTTCAAATTTGGTTTCCTTTTTTTTTTTAGTAGTTTTCTTGATATATTCACATATCATATACTACCATGATTAAATCTCATTTTAAAAGTTGTATATACATCATCATAATCAGTTCTGCTCTCTCCCCCAACCTGCATTTATTGTTTGTTCCCCGAATCCCCTCACCCTCCTCACCTCCATCCCCTTTCCACTTCCCCAATATGACAATATTTTAAAGTCACTACTTCTTACAGTTATATTCCAAAATTTCTTTTCTTTTTTAAAATAATTTTATTGGGGGCTCGTACAACTTAACACAATCCATATTTCAATTGAGTCAGGCATGTTTGTACATATGTTGCCCTCATTCTTTTCTAGACATTTACTTTCTATTGAGCCCTGGTATCAGCTCTCCCCCACCCCCACCCTCATAATCCCCTGATAGATTGTACATTGTTGTTGTTTTCATCTCACACCGATCACTGTCTCTCCCCATGTTTTCTGTTGGTTCCCCCTGTAGAGAGGTGTATGCTTATGTGTCAATCATTGCAATCGGTTTTCCCCTTTATCCCCACCTCTCCCCTCTTTCCCCTACCCTTCTGGTACCACTATTCCCACTCCTGTTCCTGGATTCTGTGCAAAAATTTCTTTATATGTAAGTTCACTAAGTAAGAATTAGGATGAGATCTTTGATTTTAACAACATACTGTTATTTAGTAAATCTCAATGATGTTTACTTTGTAATTTAAATTAAGTAGTTATGAAGGAAAACTATATTTGCTTATTTTTTCTTTATTTCTCTTTTGGTGTTATTCAGGGAGAGTACCACAATTTCAATCTGGGAAGCCTTAAATGAAAGTTATCTAAAGTCATAGATCATAAACTGAAGAGAGACTCCCCCAGTCGACAATAAGGTGGAACAAGATGATGTTGTCCTTGAACAACCTGCAAAATGTCATCTGTAACCCGGTAACTGATTTCTGTACACTCACTGTTTACTTATGACAGGTTTGATAACAAATCCGATTGAAATCCTTAGCAGGTATGAGGGGGCAAGAGTAAAATTCAGTAAACACATATCAGATACGTACTGTATCATAGAGACTGGTTGTGCGGAGTGAAAAGGAGATGTCATGCTTATACGTGACGAGTGGAGGAAAGGACACAATGACAGCGGAAAGTGACGAGACTCATGAATAGAGTGTGTGGGAGTACAGTGGAGGGGATGCCAACTTTGGGAAAAGGGGTGGGGGTGGGAAAGAGGAGGGTCATATTATTTTCAGGTAATCTTAAATAATTTTCAAAGGGAAATGAATTTGTTCTTTATAGGATTCTTTGTTTCTTTATTAGAAGTAACCATTAAAAACTAATGTCTCATACAGGCATGTACATATGTAAATATATTTATATATGAGGACGGGGAAATAGATCTATGTGCATATATTTATAGATTTAGTATTAAGGTAGCAGATGGACATTGGGCCTCCACTCAAGTACTCCCTCAATGCAAGAACACTTTGTTCTATTAAACTGGCA